GGAAGGAAGGAAGGAAGGAAGGAAGGAAGGAAGGAAGGAAGGAAGGAGTTTCATATTTCAAATGTCCCCTAGGGAGGAAAAAAAAAGATATCACAAATATGATGCTGATCTGGTTATAAATTGTAAATACATATTTAATATACCAAACTGTATGAGTCAGGATAGGGTTACACATTTATCTCTCTCTATATATGAGTGTTCTACTAGGCTTTTTAGAAGAATGGTAGGTTTCCATTAACACAAGTTTCTCAGTTCCTGAGAATGAGCTGAATGACAGAGAAAACTAGTGCTTCAATCAGGTCACTCAAAGAGGCTACCACTTTTATAATCATAATGTATATACATTAGAACTTACATCCACAGCCTGGTTATAACTAATTCTAGCCTGGATCATCTCAGGAGTGTCTTTAATACTGGTAAACTTCAAAGCATATGGATGCTGACGGTATTTCTTCTGTTGAGCAAAAAAAGATCAAAGCTGTGAATTTTGTGCTGCTCTTTCATGCTATTTGAAATAAAAAAATCATAGGTTGTTTGAGATTAGAGTGAATGTGTAAACATAATTATTATTCCTCTTTCTTCATGTTTATCACCTAAGAACTTTCAGATGAGAATTAGTTTCCATTTAAAACTAATTTTTACTAGTGTGATAATACAGCATTTCCACTTAAAATTTAAGGAAAATATTTTAAGAGGATTATGTGTAAGAAAATGCCCAGGATACCTCATGCATTCCCCAAAGTCTGAAACACAAACTAGCATTCTGTATTGATAAGTCCTTGAAGTAAAATAGCTATTTGAATATAATAGCTACAATGGTATTTTGTGTATTATTTGAAATTTGATGATTTGTTTAACTCATGAACACAAATAATAAAAACTGAAGTCAAGTCACAGAGGCATTTCTAATAGAATATCTTATTGCTTATGATACATAAACAACGTGAGTTATTTGATAATATGTTTCTCCTGTATTTGTATGTGTATCTTTCACTTCAAGGACACTGGATCATGACATTTACATTAACATTTTGCAGAACAAGTACATCTTTATTGTGCTATTCCCACAAGTGAAAATAACTGGTTTGCTAATTTTACTGTTGTAATAAAAAATATTTTTAAAGATTTTTTTAATGGTAGACACTTGCTTTAAATGTAAAAATATCATATCACTCATAAATCTAAAAATATAGTTCATAACAATTATGTAGAAGAGTCTTTTATGCAGCTAGTGACAAAGTCTAATGGATACCCAGTTCTCAGAAAATACATTCTTTCACATTATAATTACAAGAAAATGTGAAATATATTTGGCAAAAATCATAATTTTCAAAGTGCTGCCATTTAAATGCTGAGAGCATATAATACTGCAATAAACTATTTTCCACCAAGGAAAGGTGCCTGGATATTGCTTACTTAAAACAATATTGTACTGAGTAGAAGAGTCCAGATAAAAGCACAGATCTTGTTTTGTTTTGTACTCTCTGGTCAAACAGCTTCTGCAGCACTAAAAATGCACTAGAAAATCTGTCACTAAATGCATTCCTGCTATGGATGACCATGCCTGTCATCACAATATCTTTAGTGTGACTGCACAGAAGTACTCTTGAATCCTTAAATCCTCTTAATGTACTCGCTGGGTATGCATATTCAAGAATTCAGAATATTTTAATTGTGGATGATGGTCTTTAGTAGCGTTCAAAAGCACTCAAGAGCTGCATTTATTCTTTTTACTGAAGAATGTACATGAAGAGGAGAGCTTGGGTAATAGTAGATTCTTAGAATCATAAATATACATTTTAAGCCTTGATGCATTTCATTAATAAAATGCAAGCTGGTGGGGTAGCAATTGTTTGATTGCCATTATTATTCATGATATCATTTGTCACCTCCTTTGCTTTTGGAAAGACTATATGGACTCCCACTGTTTTGTGTTTGGTATCTGGCTTCCTTCTAATTATGACTACAATGCCTGGTTTTGAGAGCTTTCATGTGGGATGCCTTTTTCTTTTCTCCCCCTTTGAGTGGAAATTATTTTAATTTTATACAGACATTTTACATGCATTATGGGGCAGGTTTTGCTACGGCTGTCATGAAATCTCACCTCACTAATGAGTTCTCCTGCCTTCTGAGCCTGCTTCACATTTAATGACCCAGTGGCGATCCATCCGGCTCCTTTCATCCAGTTCAGATCTGCTCTGTATCGGTTCTGACAAAAGGAAATGAAAATGCTCCATTGTGGCTGCTCACACATTAAAAATGCCACCTAAAGAACTCACACATCAGAACACCAACTGAGCCAAATTAGAGCCTGCTTTTGTTTTATCCACTTCTTTGCAACCGTGGATAGAAATGTGAAAGGGAGGGGGGATTCAGAAAAGAGATCGTGAATGTGCTGACACTGAACCTTTTTGCTATAAGGTTTAAGAGAAAATGCATTGGGATGGCATTTATTTATTTATTTGTTCATTTGTTTGTTTGTTTATTCCTTTTTACTGATTGCTAAATGGTTTCTGACAATACTCTCAAGATATCAGTCATGAAAAACAGGGCTGGTTCAAAAGATTTCTTGGTAGATCTTTTGCCTATTTTGTTGGAAGTAAGGCAAATGAGTATAAGACTTACTCCCAGGTAAGTGTGAATTCAGTTACTGCCATAGGGAAGATTTGGGGCAGTAAAAGAAATTAGTGAAGGTGAATACAGGAATAACTTATTTTAATCACTTTTTTGTACAGATGGCAAAAGTCACTGCAAAGAATCATGTGTTAATTCTATCCAAAGTTACATGAAAGAGGGATATGTGAACTCACCATCATCAGACAAATACACACCTCTCTACAGTATGAACCCAGACCTACCTCTGATATGGTTGCTGAAAATTGGTGGCATAGTTTCTTGCCGTTCCAAGACGGGAAAAGTAAAAAATCATAGTGTAACCTTTAAATTATGCTTAATACCATTTAAAACAATATGCTTGTGCAAACACTCCCCCAAACCCATGGAAAAAATAACAAGGCCCCATCCACTTTGCATTATTGATCTGTTCACTATGGCCTATGCCCACCCAAAAATATTAAGTATAGTTTCCACTCATACAGGTGTGGATGAGAAGCATAACATCGGTTTTCAAACATTATAGTAATTTCCTAATTTCCAGATCCATCAGGACTTTATACCAAGTTGTGTAAAAAAACCCACAAGGTTCCATAAAGGAAGTCATTTTTGATATAGGATGATGCAGAATGCATTTTATCTAACTGGGGAATTGTGCAACTGCAGATCTAATTGAACTATAACTCCTACCATATTGGGGTCACATATTAAGAGTTATAATTCAGCAACATCCTGACCCTTGATGTGGCCACTGTGTTAGTGGACATATCACACCCTCACTTTGATTTATAGTATAAACAGACTGTGATAGTTGTTATCACTAAGTCTGCAAAAATTAATCATCCAGTTATTCTTTATGGTTAGCCTCAGATAGCTATGAAAATGAAAGGTTATATAAAAATAATTAAATGTGGGACTTACATCACTCTGCAAGCCATAAGCCCACTTGGCCCATTCTACTTTCATATCTGTGGGCAAAGCTGTATAGCGGTGCATGATTGTCTTATATCCTCTATCAGTGGCCAAGTCCTGAGCTTTCTTGGCATGGACAAGATTTATCATATCCATGGACACATGATACTGATTCTTTACGTCTTCAAATGCCTTTTTATACTCCAGATCACTCTGCATCTTTGACACTTGGAGCAAATGAGCCATTTGTGAGTCTTGGCTCACATCTTGCACTCCAATCAACTTTCCTCTAGTCTTCTCATAATTCTCCTTATATTTTATCTGTTAAGAAAAATAATGGATTATGGCAGCAAAGATAAGCAGATAGTCTTTATTAACTATGGAATTAGGTCCAGGCAACCTTCCTTACAAAAGTATATCCTGCATTCTGTTCCTTGTTTATAAGATATAATTCATTTATTAGCAAAATGTTCAAATAAAGATGCAGGCATTCCTTCTAGTTTTCATAATTCCTAAAGGAGCATATTTTAGAATCAATACTCACATCACTTGCCAGGTCCCTCTTTGCCTTGGCTGTCAGGAATGGTATAGCATCAAGATGAAGTTCAAACCCCCTCTCTTTCTGCCTCTCCCAGCTACTCTTGTAGATTTTCTAAAAATATGTTAATACCACAATTATTTTGCTTGCTGTCATGAACCACAGGCATCATAATAGCACCCAACATCTCCAAAAGGAATTAGATTTGTATTGTTTTACAATACATGTATTGTTATTTAAATGTATTGCAAGTTCTTATCATTAATCCAGCTTGCTTGTTTCCCTATTGGTCAAATTAAAAACCTTATTAAAGGTGTCAATATTAGCAACATAGGTGTTTAAATACAAAAGCTCTATGGAGGCTTTTCCCAAATCAGATAATCTAAATGCTTTAGATTTCAGCTTCCATTATGCCTGACATTGGTGATGCTGACTGGGGCAACTGGGAATTGTAACCCAAAACAGTAAAGAGACCCTGTCACTCTTAATGAATCCTAGACACTAGTTGTTTGACAGGAACTAGCTAACATTGTCTAACAGAGACTCAGCATCCACACTAAATTATAATTCACTAGATTCTTGGGAGATGGATATTGTTGAACTGTTATTTTATATAAATATTTAGTGTACAAATACCATCATGGGTTGTGCACCTTTCTAAAATATTTTGGTAGAAATGTTTCAAAATTCACACAAACACATCAACTCTCCACTATTAATTAAAATAAGTAGGTTATTTTTCAGGTTTTCTCCATAAGCTCCATACAAACATGGCATTCAAATCTATACATACTTCACTAATATTTGCTGCATTTATTCTGGCCTGTATGAATAGAGGCTCATCTTTGCTGATGGTGTAGTTGTGAAGAAAATCCTCTTTTGCTGACCTGTATGCAACCTGTTCACAAAGCAAACCAAATCATTTCACCCAGTGATTGATAACAAGAAAAATCTAAGTTCTTACAGATATAGAAACATGCTTTCTACTAGGTCCAACCTTTGGTCTTTCTAGCCCAGTAGTGTTGACATTAACTGATAGACTGCAATAGTTCAGGTAGTGAGAACAGACTTTTTAAAATCCTAACATGAGATGCTGGATATTAAATGTGGGATTTTCTGCACAGAAACTGTATGCTGTATCACTGAACAAAGGCCTTTTCCATAGATTTCCCTATAAATTTATACACCAGTATTTTTTTTTTTTTTTTACTCTTTGGGAGTCATCTGACTAACTAACCATTAGGGAAGGGAAGGGAAGGGAAGGGAAGGGAA